TTTCTGGAACCAATCTCATCGGCAGCCAGGCAGCATAGCTGGGCGGAGGGGACGGCTGAGGCCTGGCCGGAGAGCCTCCCGCCACTGGGCAGAGGACATGAGCCCCCGAGGAGAGACGAGGGGCAGCCCCTGTGGAGCCCGAGGCATGGCTGCATGGGAGGTGGTGCGGGCTGCAGCCGTGCCCAGGGCTTCCTGGAGGAGGCGAGAAGTGGGCTGGCCCCGGGAGTGGGCTGGATTGGGGAGGGGAGGGGGACACTTCTCCCCGGTGGTGGAGAAAGCCTGAGCAAAGGCCCTGGGGCATGCACTGTGTGTGGGACAGTGTGAGGATGAGCCTGGGCACAGGCTGGGGACCTGCCAGGGAAGGGGGTGGAAATAATAATAATAATAATAAAGTAATAATAGCAGCAAACAGCTACCTTGACTTTGAGTATTGACCATGGGCCAGGTGTTTGGGCATCTTGCTTGCATCATCTCATCTCATTTCATCCTCAAAAAACCCCTCTGGGGGAGATCAGATCACCATTCTCACCTTCCAGGTGAGGAAGCTGAGGCTCCAGATGTCTGGTGTTGTCATGAAAAGGACCAAGATTTTAAATCCAAAGTGATGGCTTCTTTTGAAATGTCAGGAGATTTGGCAAAACTGGGCCTCCATTCCTCCATTCCCCCATTCCCCTATTCCCCTATTCCCCTATTCCTGCATAGCAACCACTGGCCAGGTGCATCTCCTGTGGGAGGGACATTTGCTCTTCAATTTACCACAAGCCTCACCAGTCCCTATCGCCTCCTGCACCCACATGGGCTTGCCCATGCACATTGCCCGTCTGCCCCATAGGCATTTGAGTTCGTAACCCTGGGGGGAGAGGGAGCCACCAGGGAGAGTGGGTGTGGATGTGGGCGTGCAGGGAGAACGTAGTCTCCCCACTTCCCAGCTCAGGATCAGGACCCTAGTCTCCAGGCAGCCTGCGGGGGGAAGTCTCCGCCCACCCCCGCCCCCATCTGTGCTCTGTGCTCTACGCCCAGGCCCCCTGCTGAGAGAGCGGCTCAGCAGGGGAGGCCGAGGCAGGGGCACCCGTGGGGCCGCCTGGAGGAGACAGGGAAAATATTTCCCCAGGGGAAGCCAAACACGACTGTTTGTTTTCGTTGTTTAAATTATACGTGTTATTTATTTTTAAAGTGGCCTGTCATTATTGGTGAATGGGGAAGGCACCCGGCCTCCCAATGCAACCAAAATTTTAGATATTGCTGTGCAGTTATTAAGTAATGAGCTCTTCGTCTCCGGGAAATGCGCTGTGTGGAGCCCCCAGGGGCCGGGTTTCTCCTTATGGGGTAATTGCAGCCCAGGCGGAGTGGGTGCCTGGGTCCGGGAAAGGGGGCGGGGCTTCCAGACCCTCTGCATCCATTGTAGCTCACGCATCCGCTTGTATAGTCATTCAAAGTATGTAGTGGCTGCCTGTCCAGGCTCTGGGAACAGAGCAGTGAGCGATACTATTGTAAATGACAAAAGCCGTCACTTCCACGGTGCTCACTGTGGGGCCACGCACGCTCTGAGCGGTCCGCATATGTTAACTCCTTTGATTATCCCAATTTTACCTGAGAAGTAAAATGATGCCCACTTTACAGATAGGAAAACTGAGGCACTAGAGACACAGTTGTCTTTGGTGAGGGAGACAGACACGAACAGGGAATTTCAGGGCCGCGGAATCCTGGAGCAGCGTCCGTGATGGAGAGGCCGGGCGGGATTCGAATCAGATGGGACGGGCGGAGGAGGCCTCGGTGGGCAGGTGGTGGGGAGCGGGAGCCAAGCCCAGAGAGATTGGGCAGGAGAGGAGCTGGTGCCCAGGCCCTGAGGGGGAGTGAGCGTGGAGTCAGTGAAGAGACGGGAAGGAGGGGTGAGGGCAGAGGGGGGGTGGCTTTGCTGAGAAAGCCCAGTGCCTGCTGACTTCTCAATGGCTCCGTGATGGCCCTGGGCTGGCTGGGGGGCGGGGGGGTGTCACCAGTGCCAAGGCAGGGGGTGAGGATGGCTGGAGGTGGGTCTCCCAGGGTGTAGATGGAACTCAGAGGTTTGTTATTTTTTTTAATATATATTAATTGATTTCAGAGAAAGGGAGAGGGGAAGAGAGAGAAAAACATCGAACCGTGACCTCGGGGTTCATAGGTCGATGCTCAACCACTGAGCCCCGCTGGCCGGGCTCAAGCTCCATGTTCAAGACCACTAATCAAACAGGAGGCAGAGCCAGGATTAGAATTTAGTTCTGGGTCTCCGTGTCCTTAACCACTGAGCAACACGGCCAGGGACCTTGTTCCACTCAGCAGGTGAGACTGGCTCTTTGAGAAACAAGGACCAGTGTGGGCACATGCGTGGTGCCAAGGGAGCGAACCCCGGAGGGGGGCCCTGGGGACCGAGGGACGTCAAGGGAACGACTCCCCAGTGCAGCTGCCTCGAAGGAGAGGCCTCCCTCCGCCCCCACCCCCGAGGCCCAGCTGGACGGCACTCCTGGCATCTCAGGCTCCCTCCGTATGGCAAGGCCGGGCGGGGAGAAACACTCCATCTCGACGGAAATCATTTGTTTTGTTCCCCCTTCCCCACCGGCCTCTCCCCGGAGACCCAGGTGTTAATGAAATCAAACAAAATGAAAATGGGTAAATTATTGCCAAGCTATGAACACCTCCATGGGGCCACGCCTCACTAGTTTCCAATACCACCCCATCCGGGCCGCGGAGACGCCCGCAGTGCTGTCCCACGGGCGAGGCGGAGGGAGGGAGGGACAAAAGAGACAAGATATTCAATCAGGAGGTCGCCGACCCCGGCTTTCCTATAATTATAGCGCTGCGTCCTGGCCCACTGGACTGATGGCTGAGCCTGTTGGCAAATTAGTGGTGGTGGTAGTGGTGGGGGATAGAGTGATTTCTAGCTTCCTCAAAAGAGTCGCAGCTCCCGTGGGGTCAGGGGCCCAGGGTGGGGGAGGCGGGATGGATGGAGAGGAGAGGCCTTGGCTGGGAGCAGCCGATCACGGGGACTCACAGGCCGATACATTTTCATTCAGGACCTGGGAGCCTGGCCCCCGCGGAGAGCAGGCTCTGGCCCACACTGGCCCCCTGGCCCGAAATCGGGGTACCCGGACCCCTCTGACTTACTTCCCTGGCTTTGCCTCAGCTTTTTCTGTCCTTGTCAGACGGGGAGTGAGACCATCCACCGTGGAAGGTTATTAACAGCCGTGTCTCTCCTAGCAGGGCAGGCGCTCTGTGCAGTAAAATGACACATGGCATGTGCTCTCTGAGTCTGTATTCTTTTTTAAAAATATATATATATTTATTGATTTCAGAGAGGAAGGGAGAGGGAGAGAGAGATAGAAACATCCATGAGGAGAGGGAATCACTGATCAGCTGCCTCCTGCACGCCCCACACTGGGGATCAAGCCTGCAACCTGGGCCTGTGCCCTTGATTGGAATCGAACCTGGGACCCTTCAGTCCACAGGCTGATGCTCTATCCGCTGAGCTATAACAGCTAGAACTCTGAGCCTTTATTCTAACACGCGCTGTGAATTTTTAGCCCGTGTTGTTTGACACGGAGTATCGCTCCCCCTGATCACATACGCGTTACGATGTTTTGCTGGATCTGCTCAGGGGCCAGGGGCCAGGGGTCCCGGTGTTGTGGTTGAGCAATCTGAGCCTAGGACAGGTAGGAGGTGGTGGATGAGCACCCGGCCTCCTGCCCTCCGGTGGGGCAAGCTGTGAGGATGATGCCGTCCTCCGTGGCGCTGAGCCCGGCGCCCACAGCAGTAACCCGCTCACCAGTGGACCCGTGGTGGCTCCCTCCCAGGCCCTCTCACTTCCCCACCCTCCTGTGTTTCCTGAACTCATTCCTTTTTCTTTTTTAAAAATATATTTTTATTGATTTCAGAGAGAGGAAGGGAGAGGGAGCGAGAGAGAGAAACATCATTGATGAGAGAAAATCAGGGATCGGCTGCCTCCTGCACGCCCCCCACACTGAGGATCGAGCCCACAACCCGGTCCTGTGCCCTGACCAGGAATTGGACCGTGACCTCCTGGTTCATAGGTCGACACTCAACCACTGAGCCACGCTGGCTGGGCGTAGTTTTTGATCCGGGTGCGGGATGGCTGGGTGTGTTCATTCGTGAAAATTAAGCCATCTGTCCACGTGGGATTCCTGCGCCTCTATTGTGCCTGATTGATTTCTGTGTAAATATATTAACGCCATCCCCGCATAAACCTGCTGGGGACATGCTGGGCCCACAAGCGAGGAGCGAGATTGCATCCGGGGAGCTGCATGAGCGAGCAAGCGTCTGCTGGCGGGAGTCGGAAGGGGACCCTGAGAGAGGCCTTCTCGAGTGTTTCATCAGGGAGCCAGGACATAAGCTGGAATAAGCAAGAATCCATTGAATCGGGCACAGGATTTAACGCCCAGGGAAACTCCCCAGGAGAGGGGGGCAAGCGCACAGCCAGGGGGGCTTTTAGGAGCCGGGAGGAAGCCATGGCCGGTCGGAGGGGGAGCAGACGCCTGAGCGGCCCTGGGAGCTGGCAGAGGCGGGAAAGGGACTCGCACTATTGTCCGGGGCCTGAAGGCCCATGTCTCACTGGGGGGGGGGGAGGTCCAGGGGGTCCCCCAGTCATCAATGACCTTGGGACACACTGGTGAGGGAGGGGCACCCGCTCACTGAGAAACTCAGTGGACACTCCTCTGCAGACCAAGGGTGCAGGTAGGAGAGCATGCCTGGTTGGCTCAGTGGATAGAGTGTCAGCCTGCACACTGAAGAGTCCCGGATTCGATTCCCGGTCAGGGCACATGCCCTGGTTGCGGGCTCCATCCCCAGTGGGGGGCGTGCAGGAGGCAGCCGGTCCATGACTCTTTCTCATCATTGATGCTTCTATCTCCTTCTCCCTCTCCCTCTCCCTCTGAAATCAATAAAAATATATTTAATAAAACAGGAAAGGAAAAAAAAGGTTGCTGGTAGGAGAGGTGGCCGCAGACCGGGGCTTGCTAACAGCCCTGGGGTGGTGGGTGCCTGCGGTATCGGAGGCCGGGGGCGGCGATGATCATAATGACTCGCAAGGTCAGGAGGGCAGCCGTGGCGGCTTGACCTGCGGGAACGGAGAAGACGAATAACGGAACTGGTGTCCCCAGAGGCGAGGTGGTCAGGCGGCCGATAGGGCCGAGGCTCAAGGTCCACAGACAGCAGGGCAACGGCGGAGGGACAGGCCTAGGACCTTCCGCTTCCAGCTGAGATGGAGCAGCAGGTGTGAGGTTTGCTCTTGAGCCTGGACCAACCCCAAACGACAAAACGTATGAAATGATGGTGTGTCAGGCACTGGACTTCGGGCCCTGAAGCAGAGGGGCCCCTGAGAAATGGTAGTGGGATGTGGTGCGCCCTGCGATTGCCCCAGCTCAGTACCGAGAGAGAGAGAGAGAGAGAGAGAGAGAGAGAGTGAGAGAGAGAGCAGGCCCCGGCCCAGGGCGGAGAGCTCAGGTGGACCCTGAGCTGAGAGGACGGAGTTGAGGGCAGACAAACGATACGTTAGCTATTATAGCTGTAGCCCGGGTGTGTAGAATGTGAAGTGGTGATGGGAAAATGAGGTTAAAAGACCTGGACACATTGTGACTGTGGGTGGACACGTGCAGCAGCCCTGGCGTGAGGAAGGTGTGATCGCCAACAGCCCCAGCCCCTCAGCAGTGAAGGGGGGAGTCGGGCCGGCAAGGACGGAGGGGTTTTGAAAGGAGAGTGGAGGAGGGAGAGGACGGGGACCTCTGTGGTCAGGGCGTGTACGGGAGGCAACGACCATGTGTCACTCTCACATCGATGTCTCTCTCTCTCTCTCTCTCCCTCCTCCCCTCCCTCCCTTCAACTCTCTCTAAAAATCGATGGAAAAAGTATCCCAAGGTCAGGAGTAACCAAAACAAAGAGGCTTTGGAACATGCCAATATTCCACTGTCAGAAGCGCCCACGTACGGCCCGGTATCCTTACAGAGGGACCCGGGACGCTGTGGCTGCCTGGTGCCCGCGGCCCACACCAGCCTTGGCACAGTCGCGGAAGCACCCTCCACAACCCACCAGAGCCAGATGCAGGTGCCCCGGGTGGGGGTGGGGGGCGCCATCCTGACGTGTGGGCGCGGGGGTGACATCGCCCTGAGAAGCGTCCCCATGGCCCCCCCACCCCAGCGGGGTGCCTGTTTTCAGGACGCAGGCTGCACGCAGCAGCGCTGCGATGAACCCAGCAGGGGTGGGCGACCGCCGCCTGCGGACGGTTTCTGGGAAGACGGAAGTCGTTAGATGCCAATGGAAACCTAGGACGCAGCATCCAACGCTGGAACAGGCACCTGCCCCCTCGCGCGGGGCGAGCGGTTGATAGCGGGATTGGTAATAACTTGATTGCAGTCATTGCGAAGGGGAATTGGAAGGCGGTTAGATGAGCAGGAAGCGGGTAGTGAGTCGATGTGTCGGTGTGGAGCCACATTTTCTTAGAATTCAGTGGGAGTTTCTCCATGTTCGGTCTTTTTTTTTTTCTTGGCCAGGGAAATGCAGAATCGCTCTGCAAATGGGGAATCCAGGAGCCAGAGTTCTAGGATTTCACCCAAAAAACCATCCAGAGAAACCAACGCCAGTTTCCTTTGGGGAAACCTCTGCGATTGGGGATCCTGGTAAACAATGTTGCCACACATTGATTGTTGCCACTGCAACAGCCCCTGCCGGCACCCGCTCCCCCCATGAATGGTCCAGGAGTCACCTGGGAACTGGAACCAGACATGCTTGGAATTTCAAAGGGGATCCCTGAGGTCTGGCCGGCGTGGCTCCGTGGTTGAGCATCGACCTATGAACCAGGAGGTCAGGATTCGATTCCTGGTCAGGGCACAGGCCCGGGTTGCAGGCTCCATCCCCAGCGTGGGGCGTGCAGGAGGCAGCCGATCCATGATTCTCTCTCATCATCGATGTCTCTCTCTCCCTCTCTGAAATCAATAAACATATATTTAAACAAACAAACAAAAAATGTCGCTGAGAGGGTGAGACCGCAGCGCCCTGATGGGTGAGAACCATCCGTCTGGAATGTGAGTGTCACAGGCAGGCATCGACCTTCCTCCTTCATCTCCGAACCCCCAGCGCCAGGACATGGCTCCGTGCCTAACAGCTGAGCTGAGTGAGTTGGTGGGAGTCACTAACCTGAGGGACCCACTGTGCGTCGTCCGTCCACCAGCTGCGTTTTGGGGGAAACAGACCCAGGATCTCCCGGGTCATTTCCAGCTTAAGGAAGAACCAGCTCCCCGCGTCCCCCCCGCGTGGGGGGCTCCAGGGGTCGGCGAGCCCGGGGGAGGGGCATCAGCACCCTGACGGGCTGTCAGTTTCCCATGCAGACGTGGAGGGGAAGTTTGCGGCCACGACAGGGCGCGATGCGAAGGAGATAAATCACCGTTACCCGCGGCCGGCTGACAGCAGTTTAAGCCTCTGCAATCATCGGGCCTGCGGGGCGGGCCTTTTATCTCACTAAATGCAGAGCGTGGAGCCGAAATTGGCAATCCCGCGGCCCGCGCCAGCGGCCGGGCTCTTTACATAAATATCCGCGAGCAGTGAGTAAATCCTGTTGACGAAATGTGATAAAACAAAGACGGTGTCAAATATGACCGCTCCCCCGGTGCGTCCCGGAGCCGCGTCCCACTCACTTATTACGCGCGGCCGAGATTATAAGGTTTGCTTTTATCTGTCAGAAATCAATATTTCAAACATCGGATAAAAGAGGAAATTGAACTGGGAATAGGCCGAAGTGCCGTAAAAACTACAAAGCACAATTATCAAAAAGCACTTAAAGTGCTTAATAGGACACACAGATAAAAACGCTCAAATTAATGCGGGGAGCCATAATGAGAACTTTCCGCGGCGCTTTCATCCCCAGCGCGGCCTGTGAAGGCCGGCCTGGCCGTCGATACGGTTTCCCGTGCCTACGACGCCCCGAGGACCCCGGGCTGGGCGGCCGTGTGTTGGGAATGGGCCATTACGTATGATTGGTTAATATTTCAGTTTATTGGAGACGCATTATTTCGGATGGCGTGTTTAAGTTGTTGCGGTTTAAGCGTTACAAACAGTTATGACAAAAATAGATCTTCGAGTCTGCAGCCGGCGCGGCCGTGCTTTTAATAACCAGGAAATCGGATTTCCAGGAGCAGAGGAGTTGTGGGGAGACCCGAGAGGAAGTGGGGAGGGGCCCCCCGGTCTCTCCTGGGCCCAGGAGGCATCCTGGAAAGTGGACGCGGTGTCTTTCGTTTCTAACCAATGCTGCCTGGCTGTGCTGCTGGCTTCCCCCT